TGTGGTTAGGGTCTTGGTGTGTGTGTGGTTAGGGTCTTGGTGTGTGTGTGGTTAGGGTCTTGGTGTGTGTGTGGTTAGGGTCTTGGTGTGTGTGTGGTTAGGGTCTTGGTGTGTGTGTGTGGTTAGGGTCTTGGTGGTGTGTGGTTAGGGTCTTGGTGTGTGTGGTTAGGGTCTTGGTGCGTGTGTGGTTATGGTCTTGGTGTGTGTGTGGTTAGGGTCTTGGTGTGTGTGTGGTTAGGGTCTTGGTGTGTGTGGTTAGGGTCTTGGTGTGTGTGTGGTTAGGGTCTTGGTGTGTGTGTGGTTAGGGTCTTGGTGCGTGTGTGGTTAGGGTCTTGGTGGTGTGTGGTTAGGGTCTTGGTGGTGTGTTTAGGGTCTTGGTGGTGCGTATGGTTAGGGTCTTGGTGTGTGTGTGGTTAGGGTCTTGGTGTGTGTGTGGTTATGGTCTTGGTGTGTGTGTGGTTAGGGTCTTGGTGCGTATGGTTAGGGTCTTGGTGCGTGTGTGGTTAGGGTCTTGGTGCGCGTGTGTTTAGGGTCTTGGTGTGTGTGTGGTTAGGGTCTTGGTGCGTATGGTCAGGGTCTTGGTGTGTGTGTGGTTAGGGTCTTGGTGTGTGTGTGGTTAGGGTCTTGGTGTGTGTGTGGTTAGGGTCTTGGTGCGTGTGTGGTTAGGGTCTTGGTGCGCGTGTGTTTAGGGTCTTGGTGGTGTGTGGTTAGGGTCTTGGTGTGCGTGTGGTTAGGGTCTTGGTGTGCGTGTGGTTAGGGTCTTGGCGCGTGTGTGGTTAGGGTCTTGGTGGTGTGTGGTTAGGGTCTTGGTGTGTGTGTGTGGTTAGGGTCTTGGTGTGTGTGTGTGGTTAGGGTCTTGGTGTGTGTGTGTGGTTAGGGTCTTGGTGTGTGTGTGTGGTTAGGGTCTTGGTATGTGTGTGTTTAGCGTCTTGGTGTGTGTGTGGTTAGGGTCTTGGTGTGTGTGTGATTTGGGTCTTGGTGGTGCGTGGTTAGGGTCTTGGTGGTGCGTGTGGCTGGGCTCTTGGTCGTGCGTGTGGCTGGGCTCCTGGTGGCGCGTGTGGCTGTGTTTCCCCGTGCATGCTGCCGGGCTGGGACGCACGGGTGGACGTGTGTGGAAAGGAAAGCAGATGCAGATTGCGGGGATAGATGTAGGTCAGTGTGAGCTGGGAGGCAGTGCAGGGCGGACGGGCTGGCTGGAAGACGCACAGAGCGGAGACTCTGGCGACGCGGGCCGACTCTGCCAAGGCGCGGGCGGACGCACGCTGGGCTGAGATGCGTGCCAAGCTGAGACGTGGGGGCCCGACCGGCAAAGTCCGTGAACACAAAAGGGGAATGCAGGCCAAACCGGTGCGGGACAAAAAAACGCAACCATCTGCAGGGCTGGCTTTCTGATCCAGAGAGATGCAGGCAGATATTAAACCGCGTTGTGTTTTGATGTGGCTGGGTGGCCCAAAGGTCAGAGCACTGAGTCGGTGCTATTGAGATCCTGGGTTTGAGTCAGGATGTCGGCTGCCGAACGGTTGATTAAACCAGGCCCTCAAAGTTGTGCGGAGATTTTAATGGTCTCAGATTGAATTTCGATTTAAAGCTTTCGTGACTGCAGGGATTCATCTTCTTGGTTTTTTCGGTAAAGTCACATTCTACGGTCTCAGATTGGTTGCTTATGACCGCTAGCGCACAAACGCATGTCATTTTTTTTCTTTTTCCGCCTCCGGCTGCTTAGAAGTTTCGGTTTCTTATACATGCTGTAAGTAATCTTTGCTGGCCACCGCAAGGTGTGCTCCACGTGTTGGGTGAAGGTGTCCTTTCGAAGGGCCCTCTGGAGTAGTTCTGCGACGTTCTCTTCCGGACTCATTTCATTGTTGTTACAGGACGGTGTAGTGTTACCCCACAGAGTTTTGAATGGGGATGCCTTCATCCAATGACACGACGCCAAGAGCACAATTGTAATATACGGTTGAACTAAATAATAACTTTATTTCAGTGAAAGATGCAGCCAATATACGGTTGGCTACGTACGGTGCGAAAGAAATTCAACATACACACGAAACCATGGAACACTTACGAGGATGAACGGTGCACGACATAGCAAACGAGACGCACGATAATAATGATCGTCACAATTGCATCGGCTTCTTCTTTTTCTTTCATATGGCATGTAAGCTACAGTTTGTGTAGATGTCATAGTTGAATGTCAAGGTCCTTCAACTGATCCAAGGCAGCAGTAGACTCTGTACGGATTGCAGCAATACCGCCAGGGTATGCATGGGTCACGCGCTCGTTGGTGATGCGTTTGAAGCTTTGGCCTTTACCACAGTCGCAGTTTGGCGATTCTTTTATTTTTCCGTCGATGGAACACCGTGTACTCACATCTCCCGTGCTGCGTCCGAGCCGCGGTTCAGCGTGGGGTCCACAGCCATCGTGAGAGAGAGAATCCCGGCACTTGGACGGTCGGGTCCTCAACGATGTTTTTTGTTTGCCACTTTCGTAGCCCGTCCACCGCCCTTGAGACCGTCGAGTGCCGGCTGACTGAAAATGTGCAGCGCTGGGGGGTTTTACTTTAGCCGGGCGTGACCCCTGTGCCCGTTGCCGTGAACTCCTGAAAATACCGCACGCTCCGCGCTCGGTTCGAGTGAGCTGGAGCCGAGCGTGGCAACGTTCACGCCACATGATTGTGGCCGGGATTAAGGGTGTGTCAAGGTACATTTCCCAATGTACTACATTGCTTTGTGCTTCATCATCATCATCGTCGTCATCAAAACAAGTCAGAAGTGATTTCCTGCCCAGATGAGCATTCAGGCCACAATGCTCATCTCCTGTTTATAGCCCCTGGGCCCGGGCGGTGTAAATTACACATTCCTATGTTGGGGGCCGAGTCTTATCCACGGGACAAACGCACTGGTTGACTTTCCCGCAAAGTGGGCGGCCATTCAAATGTCACGTGAGACTGAAAATGTGCAGTGGGTTTATAAAGGTGGTGTGTGGCTTTAGAAGGATAAGGGGAGATCTCGGAGAGCGGGAGCACGAGAGAGAGAGGAGGAGGAGGGGGACGTAGGGGCTGGTTCGGGCAGCATCACAAGCTTCAATGCTTCCGTGGCCAGGCAAGCCCAGCAGGGCCTACCGTGGCAGAGTCAGCTGCTTGTCCTTACGTGGAGGATGATAGAACTTCTCTCCATTTCCGCCGTGACCAACATGCCGGATGCCTCCTTATAAATAGCGAGGAAAGACCACACACGGCGGAGAAGATGGTGGAAACGATTCAGTTCCTTTTCAGGAATATATTGTCGCGAGCGCCAAAGATGGCGAGATGAAGAGCGGTCCGAGGTGCGTTTTTGCCGATCGTATCGACGCGCGGTCTAAGGGCGGTTTCTCTTCGGAGAGCGCGCAAGGCCGCAGTAATGCGCGTGGCGGGTCGTGCCGTGCGACGGCGGAGCGTCGCGTAACAGGGCGGGCCGTCGAGCAGGCCGAGCGTGGCGGGTCGCGCTCCCTTTAGCGGTTTCGCTCGCTGTCGCCCTCATTTGTTTGTGCCGGGTACGAGAGTCCCTTTTAGGGAGGGGTCCCTCCAAATCTCCCCCGCGCGATTGTTCTACATTGTTGTTATTATTTAAGAACCCCAGAAGGGAAAGTAGATTTCTAAGAGGGGGGCGGGGGGAGGAAAACAACAAGTCCCAGAGCGATACACCCTCAAAATAAGGGACCGACCGAGGGAGGTGGGGCGTCTGGGATTGCTGCCCTACCTGTTGGGGGTACCCGTGGGGGTACCGGTTGGGGGTAACGGTTGGGGATAACGGTTGGGGATAACAGTTGGGGGTAACGATCGGGAGCACATTATTTACAAGGGAGTGGGAAACGTTGGAGGGAAGAGGGAGAAATAATGTCACCGAACAGAACCGGAAATGAAATCACGTGAATGCGACGTCCACATTCGTCATTCTTGTTTTCTCCCAGGGGCGCCACCGTCCCATGACTGTTTGATGGAAAGTTCCGCATCATGAAATCTTTTAGTCTATTGATTCTTTCACCCACGGGTTGTTTGTTGTTGTGCACCTTTTCAGAATTGGTTGTTATCGTATAAATAGATGTGGAGGTCCTTTCACTCGGCGTCGCTCGGAGGGAAATCAAACAATCTTGGGATGGTTGCTACGTGTGTGTGTGTGCGTGTGCGTGCGTGGGTACGTGCGGGTATGGGATTCGCCTTTCACTTTCATCCGTCTCATAATGCTTGTTGGTTGTGCATTATCTAAAACGTATTTGATTGTCGTACGTTTTTCATATTCTGTACTTGAGCTGCATATCACGGCAATTCAAACATACCTTGTCGGAAGTCGGGGGTTGTTGCCGTTAATGTTTCCCGCGCGGTTGTCGTGTCGGCTCTGCTGGAGGTAGGGAAGCGTTGGCAGTGAGGTGTGGTGGTGGTGACATCTACGGCTTTGTCTATGATGACACCTTGTGGCGGCGGTGGTGGTGGTGGTGGGGAGCGGTAGTGTAGCGGTCAGCGCGCTTTGCTACGAACCCTGCGAGCCGAGTTCGATTCCGCTCACGGCCAACACCAGAGACGATTATCTGAACCGGTCCTGAGCCTCCCCTAGGTCGTCCCAGCCTCAAATGAGTACTGTACCTGGTGCGATGTTTAAACATCGCCACTGGGGAGACAAAGGCGGTCGGGCGTGGTGGTGCCGGCCACCCACACCTCTCGTGTGCCGTGCCGGCCTTCATAGGTGCTGCTCGCTAACAGCACTTGCTCCAACAGTCTGTTAAGGCTACACGGGGGGCGGGGGGGGGATACAGGTCTTTGTGCTTGTTTGTGGGGAGCGGTAGTGCGGTGGTTGGCGCGCTGCGCTACGAACCCGGCGGCCCAAGTGTGGTGACCATATGAACCGGTTCAGGGCCTCCCTCCTAGGTCGAAATGAGTACTTGCTGCGTGGTGTGTGGACATCGCCACGAGTGGGCGGGCGGTGGTGACGAACGACGATGATGAGCGCGGCGTCCTCTCTTGGCAGGAATGGGCGAGCAGGTGGGGCTGCCTCCCCACCGCGGCGCACCCGGCCTCCTGGAGGCGCCGGGCGGCGGGGACGCGACGGCCGCCGAGCGCAAGCTGGAGGCCCTGACGCGGCAGATCGAGTTGGAGATGGAGGCGCAGACGAAGGCCGAGTACTTTGGTGAGTCCGCGGGGGCCGTGTGTGGGCACTCGCGTGCGTCGGTGAAAACCGATTGCCGCCAGCGGTGTTTGTTACGACCGCCGCCGCCATCGCGACCGTTGATATCGCTACGGGCCACGAAAATCATCACCTCCTGCATTGCTCATTGCTGTCACCACTGCCATTACCACCGCCACTACCACCACCATGACCACCACCGTTACTACCACCGTTACTACCACCATCATGATCTTCACCACCATGACCACCACCGTCACTACTACCATCATGATCACCACCAAAATATCCCCCATATAGCCTTTGACACACTTTTTGAGCAAGTGCTGTTAATGAGCACCTTTTGAAGCACACGGGGGATGAAGCGTGGACAGCACCACGCCCGGCCGCCTTTGGCTCACTAGTGGCGGTGTTTACACATCGAACCAGGTACGCACAATCGCTTATACCACTGCCATCATCAACATAATCAGCACCAACATAATCAGCACTACTTTAACACGTAGGCTTTTTGCGACCAATATTATCCATAATCATCCATTTTTGGGTTAGATCGCGTAAATATGAATGTGTCGTTAAACCCTCCACCACCCGACACAGCCAATTAGTAAGGTTTGTCACAACTAGCCTGATGAAGCTAGTTGTAATTATTGGCGAACCGTCGTACTCTGATTGTAAATGTTGTGGATTTGCTCTCCAACACACCGGTGTGCTGTACTAGTAACGAATTGGCCACGTTCTGTTTACGTGACAAACCTTACTAATTGGCTGTGGCGGGTTTAACAACATTTACGCCATCTAACCCAAAAAACCTCCATTAAGGATAATCAGCAGCACCAACATTATTCTCAACCATAAATCACCATTACGCTCTCTGCCAGTGCAGCTCATCGCATCTTGATGCAACACTTGAATGGGACCACACAGATATTTCGCCAATCGACACAGTCTGCGATCTGGTCAAAGTGCCGTCAGTAATATCATCGTAATCCGTTACTCGTTGCTGGATGCTCTCGCTGTGAATGCCACAGTATTCCAAACACTGTTGCCACAATGAGACCCTCTGATTCAGCCGAAACGATCATAATTATTGGCACGTTAAGCGCTTGTACACGTGGACAAGTTTAAGTTGTTTGGCTGTGCCGGGCGTTGGTAGGGTCTCAACCACAATGTTATGATTCATAAAGATCAATGATGAATCGTAACATTGCCAGAGAAATCCCTCCGTTGATATTTTTCTCCAAATTCCAAAGCCAGCAGTGACTGCAGTCCAGGTTGTGCCCCTATGGCACGGTTGGCTACGTACGGTGCGAAAGAACTTGAACAAACATACATAAGTGCTTCGTCCAATACGCTCCTCCTGTTGAGTCATAATAATTTACACTTTTCAGGCGCATTTCATCTGTAGATCCCAATGCACCCAATATATATGATTCATAAAACATTGAAGATTCATCAACAACAAACACGTTTAATCACGTGAAAAACTTCAACTGGCTAAATTTGACGTATACAATGCAATACAGTGCATTAGCGTTTGAAGTTTAAAGCACATTGTTTTTTTCATATCCTACTGTCTGCACCGCAGCTCCGTTGACCGCACTTATTATATCTGTGCCTGGGGGAGGTTTGCCCTGGCGGCAAGATTATGGGGCGCCATGGTGGCGCGAGATATTATCTCCCCCGCCGGGTATGCAGGAGGTGATGGGTGCGATCCCAACCCCGACGATGCCTCCGGTTTTCCTCTCGACCTTTAGAAATCGACAGAGTATTTGGCTGCTTGGAATTTCCACGTGTTAAGCCACGAACATTGAGCTATCATTTGTGGCCATGTCGCTTTTGAAAAAGAGATCTGTAGCTTGGTGGGCATTGGTTAAATACAAATTTGTTGATGGTTTCATATTTATTTTGAAAGTTTATGTTCAGATGGAAATGTATGTGTGAGACTGCGCCGTTACGGACATGATGTGTGAATATTGCATGGGTTAAATGGGCTGCTCTGGTGCCACGTTACAACTATGGTGGCATTGAATAAGCCCAACTGAAAACTCATTAGTTTGAAAACTCATTTCTTCGAAACTGCTTTTTGTGTTTAGTTTGCGGTCCTTCCCCCGCACCTCCGATCAGCACGGTTGGCTACGTACGGTGCAAAGGAAGTTCAACAAACCGTACATACCCGCAACTCATTCCTGCAGTCGCAAAAAGTAGTCGCTTCTGATTCGCAGTCGATCCATCGACCGAGTCAGCTGATCGTCTCAGCTGTAATTTAATGCTGTCAGCGACGGTAGTAGTGCCCCAGGTAATCTCTCGCAGCAGGAGGAGGAGGCTGTGTGGTGGGTGGTCATCCCCCAAGTGGGGGGGGGGGGGGGGGCAGGGGTAGAAGTTGCTTTAATCCTTGACCTTGAATCGGTCAAAAGTGGGGGCTGGGCAGTTGTTTTCACGCGGAGAAGCTGCTCAGTCGTCTCGCCAACACAAAGTTCAAGTGAAAGTTCAGCAACGGCTCACGTCCTGTCATCTCCTTGTCACCTCCCTGAGCGGCGCAGGAGTAGAACATGCGAGAGTTGGGTGTTTTTTTTTTTTACTTGACGGGACTGCTAAGTTAGGACGTGTTATTTATATATACACACGCGTATAATATTATTAGGAAGCCACTGGAGCTATGCACTTTTAAATCGAGATTGAAAAACTCATTCCTTGAGGACAGCTTTTTTTGCGTTTAGTTTCCCCCCCCCTCACCTCCGATTTAGCACGGTTGGCTATGTCCAGGTGTGAAACGAGTTCAACGTACTCGCGTATAAATAACCACCTGCACGCCGCGTACGCATTCCTGAATCGAATATGTGCTAGCGGCACAGCACAGCTTAGCGGGGAAAACGTTGTATTAAAAAAAAACACGTCACATCACCGCCCTGACCGATTGGCCAGGCACAGCCAGTGTAGCATTTGCACGCGATTGCAACCGTCGCGCTGCAACAGACCTTCGCGAATGCGACCTTTTCGCACATCCACCCGACAGGTACCTCGGTCGCGAGCGAGGGTCGCACGGCGCGACGTCGTGCCGCACGTTGGAATCTTTTCGCGCGCAGCCAAAGCAACGTCGCGAGGTTTCCCCTCCGCTTTTCGCAAACCAGCTTTTTTAAGTAAGCTTATTTCACGGTGTGCTGTTCCGTGGATTTTTATTTTCTTAAAAAAACATTTTCATTGCTTTCATTTATTTTGAGACAAGCTCTACGAACGAGTCCCGTCGGGTCGATGGCGTAAATACCCAGAAATTTCCATAAAGTTGGCCCTGTCTGAGAGAGGAGAGAGAGAGGGCCCCCCCCCCCCCCCCCCCCCCCCGCAAAACGGCGGCGACAATGGCTCCATGGCGAGAGCGTGGCAGGAATGCGCCCGGCCCTTGTTGCGTTGGGGCCACGCGGGTAGAGGCTGGGAGCGCGCGCGCTCGCTAGCGCACGCGCGGGCCCCCTCCGTGCACCGGTAGTAGCAGATGGCTGCTAATGCGTCACAGATGGCGTCTCATTAAGCATACAAACCCAAAGTGGTTAATCTAATGAGCGGGATCCCCGCGGGGGTAATGTGCAGAGGCAAAAAAAACGGAAATTCACAAAAGTATTTGACCATGCAACAGCGTTTCCTTTGTGCTCTTCAGTGTGTGTTTATTTATTTATTTGTGGGGTGGGGGGGGCTGAGGAATTTAATCAGGTAATCGCCAAAAAGGATGCCTCTGTCACACCACCGCCACCTTGCAGGCGAATCGTTTCAAACGCTCGCTCAACGCTGCCCTCAAACGTGAATGTTTGAAGACCCGCCTGCCACCGTGCGCGGCGGGTTTCCGGGCCGCACGGTTAATTGGCTGGCCGGGGCGTTACCCTCACCAGCGTGCGGCGGCAGTGGCGGATTGAGAAAGACGTGGGAATGTGAGGAAAGCAACGGGCTAATTTGACGCGTGGTACCTTTCGTGAAAACTGAAGCAAATGGGACTTGTACCAGTTTTTGGTTTGTTACGTGAATTCTAACTTTGCCGACGGCACAAAGTGGCCAGAAATTAAGGGCGCTCGTGACGGTATAGTGGATGTAAAGACATTATCGGCGAAAATAAATTATCGGCGTACAGAGGATCAAACTTTATATATATGAATATAATAACAGAACTTGTGATCGAACAGCATTTCTGATGCTGTGCAACAGTGCTGATATTCTTTGTGCTTAGTCTCAGTACCTTTACATTTTTTTTTTATATTCCAAATTGGGATGTTTGGTATTGGCCAAACATCCCAATTCTGAAACTTTGACTTGAAATTCGCTCGAAGGGACTCATACACAGCAGCAACATTGCCCCCCCCCCCCCCCCCCACAGGCATATCTGCAGGGTCACCGCATCGTCACTCGCGCTTTCAGATGCGCTTCTGCGGCCGTCTGGAACGCTCTTCCTCCCGATATTAGGAAGCGGCTGGGAGCTATGGAACTTTTAAATCATCTAGATTGGTAACGCATTTGTTTAGCACGGTTTTTCGTGTTTAGTTTGTTGTCCTGCTCCCCGCACCTCCGATCAGCACGGTTGGCTACGTACGTTCGACGTACACACAGAGACTCGCACAGAAACCTATCCAGACTCATAGAGACCCATAGAGACACGTAGCCCAGTACGGTGCGAAAGTTCAACATACATACATCGACTCACAGTTTGTTGTCCTTCCCCTGCACTTCCGATTAGCAAAACTTAAACCTGCTGATGACCTATCTGCGAGCTGCACCGCAGTGGTCTGCAGCGGGTAGTGAATTCTGTTGCGCGATTAACCCGCTCTGGCGGCGACGTAATTGGCGGGGGCACTTAATCTCCACCGTCTGACTCGCTTTTGATGTTTTAATTTGCCCGCTTTAAACCCCCTCTTTACAGTGATTTTTTTAACGTAATTATCGCCCGTTACAAATGACGGTGGACGTGGAGCCAAGCAACAACGTACGTAAGGTCATGACAATGCCGGACGCGTTATTCGTGGGTG